GCCACACCGTGTGCAGTGGACATTCCGTACAACAGAGTGTGAGCAGAAGTTGGGTGTGCACATTCAGGTCATGCCTTCGCGGTCTGCGTTCTCCCGTGTCTTCTCTGGCTGATAGCAGAGGCTGGAGCTCCGAGGTGAGGCCTGCACAGCCTGCCTACCATTCAGACTCAGTGTCACTTAGTAGGCTACTGGTTAAAAAGAAAACAAAGATCACCGCTAGAGCAGACATTTTTATGACAATTAGATGAATCTGAACATATTAGACAAGGAGCCGTTGTTCTTTTCTTGGGTGTGTTCATTGTGTTGTTATATTGGTTGTTCTTAGGAGATTTGTCTTGAAACCTCTCCTTTGTAAGGGTTTGGAGATGTTGGCATCAGTAGACAATGTAAATATGGTGAAATATTAATGGTTGAATCTGGGCAACGGGTGTACAGATTTGGTTGTATTACTCATTGATATTTCCTGTATATTTTACATTTTTCATAATAGAAATTTGAAAAACTAAAATAAGACAGATGGTTATGGTTGACTATAGTACTACACCTCAGAGGTTAGGGACTGACTGCAGCATGGGGGAGTCATTCTCATAAAGACTAAAGGCTCTTTAACAGACTGGATGTGTTTTCACTGGGTTGCCACTATTTTTCATAGACCTGAAGACAATAGGCTTTCTTCTTGCTGATAGCTTGTACTTTACAGACAACTTAGTCTTCTTCTGTAACGCAGGCAAAATGGCAGAAACTAGTCTGAAGATGGTAGCTTGCAGACATTGTGTAAGCTAACATTGTGGGTATATTCACTGTTTAATGCAGTTTACTTGTACACTGTTTAACACACTTGCCTTTCAATGGTGATCCATATTGTACACTGCAGAGGCATTTGTTGTAAGTTCTTCAGCTGCTACCCTGTTGCATACAAATGTTAGTATGGTAACAACGTTTCTTTGGGGATTGCAAAGTCACAAATAAAAGCCAGACTCTCCTTGCCAGCTCTGGAGCATAGTGGTTAAGGGAGGCAGAGCTCACATGGCCAACCATGATTCACATCCCAGCCCTGACAGCTTGAAGAACATGTTGGGCTCATGTGCACATTCATACCCCAAGTCCCAACAGGATGGAGAAAAAAGGATTGCAGTATGACCGTGTCCATGTGGGGTGGGGGAGGAGGGTGTGTGCTTTCTCTCTCTCTCTTCTGTGAGTACATGAGCCATCTGGCAATTCAAAGGAAAAAGAAAATGGGGTGGGGGGAGGGTGGTGCCAAGCACTTAGAAAATAAATGAAACCTGAACGTAGATAATCTTATGAAGGGGTTTTAAATCTCATTAGAGTAGGCTCTAGATTAAGATGATAGGACTAGCTCTGTGGCACAGTGGTGATGCTCTGCTCAGGAGAAGCTGGATCTCACATGGCAACCACAAATGGAATCCCCAGCCGGGTGAGCGGAAACACACTGGGCCAGTGCACAAGTGCCCAAGATCCAGTGGGCTAGAGGGCTGGAGGAAGGGGGATCATTGTGTGACCAAACTCTGTGGAGTGTACTTGTCTGTCTGTCTGTCTGTCTTTCTCTCTCTCTTTCTGCCTCTTGCTCCCTCTTTTTGGCTCAGTCACATGTGAATGCATATGCCCTATCAATAATAATAATAAAGATTACATTATGGAATTTTACTTAAGTCAGATTGTGGTCAGTCACTCATTACAGTTTAATAGATCTGGCCTATCTGTGTTGAGATCAAAGTGTATTTGTCCCCATGAAAAATTGCTTCCAATACAGGTTTGAGGTCAATTTTATTTTGTATTCTTCAGATTACTCTTCATTCTGTTTGTGTTTGCTTTTGTATTGCATGGCTTAAATGTATTATATTAGGAATTTGGAATGACTAACATCACATTTCTATGATGGGGCAGAGTATTATTCAGTATTTTACATTTGTTCACACACGTATATGCAATATTAATCAATAATATAACTAGAAGTTATATGAATCAATGTATGTGTGTGTGCATATATATATATATATATATATATATAGAGAGAGAGAGAGAGAGAGAGAGAGAGAGAGACTCAGCAGGTAACACAGAGGTTAAGGCAGCTGGATCCCACGTGGCTAGCTGAGTGATTTAAGTCCTTGATCTGGTGACTTTTTGAAAAACATGCTGGGCACATGTGCATGTGTACATGCCCAAAATCTCAAGAGGAGAATGGAGGAAAAGAGATTATGGAGCAACCATTTTTTCTGAGGGTTCTTTCTCTCTCTTTCTGTCTGTCTGAAGTAAGTGCACATGCCCTGTTGCAAAACTGAAAAAAATAAAAAACAAAACATCTGACTATCCTGTGGAATAAAAAAGGCTAATGACGTAGGCTGCTTACAATCAGACTAAGTATTAAATTATAACTTGAATAAACACCCAAAATGCTAAGGGGTTCTGTCCATGTTCTATTATCAAATATTAATATCAAAAAGTTAGAAAGTTTTGTATAAAGGAAAATTATATTGTGCCATGTATTTGAGGATAATCATTTTCTCTTCTGCCATTTGCTTTCATAAGATTGTGACTGTAATATCATCATAGTTTTGCAGAACTTTATTTTTTAAAGAATAGAGAAGTGAGGAGGCCGGCAGGTGACATGGTGGTTAAGGCTCTGGGTTCCCACATGGTTGACTGTGGTATGAGTCCTGGACCCAGCAGCTTGAATACCATGCTGGGCCTGTGTGCGTGCGTGCTCCGAATCCCAAGGAGAGAATAGAGGAGAAGGGATTGCATGTGGCCGTCTTCCCTGGGGGATGATTTCTCACTTTCCCTCTCTCTGCCTTTCTCCAGTGAGCATACAAGTTCTATGGCAAAACCTTAAAAAATACTAATTAAGAAAATAGAGAAGTGAGAACCATTTATATATCTCTTCTTAAAGGTGAAATAAAAAAGCTTCTTTTATAGCTAAATAATGAATTCCAAGGTGTTAGTCCTAATAACAGAATAATTAGGTAACATCATGACTGGATCTTTTATTTCAAAACACTTCTACATCACAAAACAAGTGTTTTAAATTGCCCTTTAGTTATGAAAGATTATGACCTCATTATGGAAATGTATGTCATTGGTGAGTTATGTCTTCACACACGTTTAAAATGCTATTTCAGGAAGACCGGATATTCAGATTTCATTTACTGGGTGTTAAATGTTTCAGGTTCCAATAACCTAGGCAGTTGCCATCACCTACCAAAATCGAAAATGAGAAACACTGCCATTACTGACGATCTTGTCATTACATTTCAAGAACTTGTAGATGGGAATTTTCTTTAAAAGAATTTTAAAAATTGAGCTCCACAATATAGTAGTTTGCTTCCTGAGCAATTCAAAACTCTTCCTTCTCAAAATAGTCAGTCTGAAAGGACGTACATAAAATATTTACGAGGTCTGTTTCACACCACCAAATCACTGCGGAAGACGAGCTGTGAAAAGCTGGATTCGTCCTATGTCTAAGCTGCTGCCCCATGGTAAGGAGACTAGGAGGAGGCTGCTTCAAAAAGTTCACGGACAATGTGTATTAAAACATTATGCATGGATTTAAAAAATGTTTTGCACCAAAATAATCTTGTAATTTAATTCCATTTTTTTCCACAAGCATTTTGAAGTACTCTCCTGTCTTAAAAGCCTATTCATAGTCCAGGTTTGCAGCTTACTATTCAGGAAATACATACTGTGATGCACCAAATAGCATCCTGATTCAGTAGATTCACAAGCCTGCTGGTGGCTAGGAAGATTATGGATATCATGGTGTTACGCAGAAACACTGCGTTTTTGTTCACCTTCCTTGCAGATCACATTTTCACATCCAGCTCCTGAATATTGTTTCTTTATAATGAAATCCCAGCATTTTAACTTCTTCAGTGAAGGACATACGCAATTCTTCAGAGCTTGCATAGAGAAAGGAAGGCTTAGGTACGACAGAGCAGATTTTCCTGGTGGTATTTCCCAGGAGAACCCATAGTTTTCTATATCTAGAATACTATCTTGCTTTCTTGTCTTTTATTTTACAGGAATAAGATAACATCTCATCTCTGATCTAAAAGCAATTTGTACTTGAGCTTATGCAAGTCTGCATGATTTTGGGCTTGACACACTAGTTTCATATGTGGAAGTCATATTCTTTTTTTCTTATTTTTGCAGAGGTTTTTGCCTTAGTGTGCATGTGCTCACCAGAGAGAAAGAGAGTCAGGGACAGTGAGCTTGAAAGTGAGAAATCAGCCCCCAGGGAGATGGCCACAACACAGTCCTTTCTCCTCCATTCTCCTGCCAGGATCTTGGGCATGCACATACATGTGCCAGGTGTGATTTTCAAGCCACTGGGTCTGGTACTCGAACCACAGTTGGCCATGTGGGAGTCCAGTGATGTCACCACTTCACCATTTGCTGGCCCCAATAGTCTTACGTAGATGAGAATGAGGAAGTCCATCCTGTCACCTCATTCATCATTAAACATGGAGACGACTGAAATAGCAGTGTAGGCAGTCTACCCTCTGTCCATGGGCTTCCTCGTGTATCTCCTCCTGATACACTTGACTCCTACACCTTCCTCCCCAACCTCCTTTGTCATCATGGCACTTATAAGTACAGAAAGCATTTGAGTAATTCACAGGCCAGTAGTGCTATTCTGCAAACCTTTTTTTTTTAAAAAAAGTACACCTTCCAGCTGCATATTTTTTCTCTCAAAAATTTGAAAATTTGAAATACATTCTTTCTTTTACATTGTTGCATCAAAAACTCCAACTCAATGATAACCAAATACTATTCAAATGGTTATTAAATTGTTTAGTGCAAGTTTCCATTAAATATGACCTTTAAACTATGCATTTCTCCTTCAAATAAAAGAAAGACCTATTGTTGTTAGCTTATTCCAGATTTTTTTTTTAATGTGAAAAATCAGTGCTTGAAATATTGGACTAAACTCTTGCCCTTCCCTCCCTGCTTTATTCTCTTCTTTGTTTAATTTTTATTTTCAGGGACCAAGAAAAAGAAGACAAAGTTACAAAGCAATAAAATGTTAACTCAGCCTTTAAAGGTAAGTAACAGTGTTGCAATTGCTTTTTCTACAGAAAAAATAATGACACTACAATAATTTGCATTAAAAAAGTCTTCAAGAGCCATCAGAATATAAATTGTTCTTTCAAAATAAATAAATAAAAATGCCAGGGGGCATGTATGCTTGCCAGAGAGACAAAGAGAGAGAAAGAAAGGGAAGACACCCCCAAAGGGTCATGGTCACACTGCAGTCTTTTCTCCATTTCTCCCTCCTATGGGCAGGCATGCGCACACATAGTATGTTTTTCAAGCCACTGGGGCTGGGATTTGAACGGCAATCAACCATATAGGATCTATTTCCCTTAACTAGTAGGCTATGAGGACAGCCCCAGAGATTTTTCTTATACATCTATCCTGTAGTTACTATAATTTTCTGTTAAATATGCATGTTATTTTTAGGATCATCAGTTTTTGTCTTTGTGTTGAATGATAAACCCTAAGAATGGGAAATAAGGAAATACCCTGTCTTTACTTTTTGCCTCATATCCTCATCCTGTCCTTGCTGATGGATAGTCATGAGCCATTCAAATCCAGTCACTTCAAATAGTTAAATAAGTAAATAAATACATAACCTCAGCAATTATACCAGGACATCTTCATGCTTATGAGCAACATCTCATTAATTATATAACAGAAATCATTCTTGCTAAAGATACTGCAGGTGCTCTGTAGTTGTATATTTTTAAAATGGTGATGAAAGGAAGATTAGGAACTCTGTTCAGTTGCTAAATGACCTTGTATCGTTTAGTCAGTCACTTCCTACGTTGCCTCATTTTTTTCATGTTGGTTCTCCTCAATTATTATTTTGCCTTAACTGTGATGGTCACAGATTTGCTCATTGATCCTGCCATGGCAGATTCTTCAGTAACTGATTTTTTTGTCAACCTACCCCACTTTGAAAAGTCCTAGACTTCCCAAGATGCCTTACTTCTGTCTTTAGAGCCTCCGCCTCTCTGGTATCTGTAGGACTGACCATCAGTGTGCTCTCAGAATATTTCTGATGCCTTCATCCCATCCATCAGTGAATGACTTACCTATTGCAATCAGCTCCTGAGTCTGGAGTGCCTGTTCATGGAAAATTGTTCAGAGACAAGCCACCACCCACTGTTAATGGTATCCCTAAGCATTCCTTAGTGACTTATAATACTGTATACTTGCATGCATTTCACAGCTTTTATGCTACCTCATTAGGGCCTCTGAGATAGGCAAGGCTGGTATTATCTACAGTTTACTTAGACAGTAAATGCAGAGATAAGATGAATCTCTGCCAGCGCCAGTGCCCTTCTGCAGCACCCTGCCAACTACGCTTTAAGACTGTCTTTGTTGGGGACCAGCAGTTAGCGTAATGGCTATGTCGCTGGACTCCCACGTAGTCGACCGCGGTTCGTGTCCCGGACCCGGTGGCTTAAATCTCATGCCAGGCACGGCATGGCCATCCCCCGTGGGGGGTGATTTCTCGCTTTGTGTCTCTTTGTCTGTCTGGCAAGCACATGGATCCTATAGCAAAAACCTAAAAGAAAAAAAAAAAAAAAAAAAAGACTGTCTTTGTCTTATTGCCCCACCTCCAACTTGTCTGAAAGAGGGAAAAAACCCTCACACCTTTCACAGTAGGACTAGAAGAAATGTGTTCATTCACAAAAGGAGTTGGCTACCATGAGACTTTTATGCCATCTCCAAACATTTATATCCAGGCCAGCCCATTAGCCTAGTGTTTAAGGAAGCAAGATTCCACATGGCTGACTATGGTTTGAATCATGACCCTGGAGGCTTGGTACCTGTGCATGCATGCCCAAAATCTCAATCAGATAGAGAGAAATGAATGAGAAGAAATTAGAGCATGACCGCACCCCATTCGGGAGTACAGGGTACTACTGTCTGTCTCTCTCTCCTGAGCACATATACCCTCTGGCAATCAAAAAAGAGAGAGATTCATGTTCTACTTCCAAAATTGCTAATTTAACAGACCTAGAAAGTCTTTGACAGCTAATCACATATCTGTGCAACAACTGATTAGAAACACAGTGTGCTCAGAGTCATGGTTCTCAAATCCTCGCAGTACTTAGTACTTGACAAAAAATAATTTGACAGCTAATCACATATCTGTGCAACAACTGATTACAAACACAGTGTGCTCAAGTACTAAGTATCCTCTCAGTACTTAGTACTTGACAAAAAAATAAGTGAGAGTTCTCTGTTGTGACTAATGGACTGTGCATGGGCTGATGCCACAGAATGCCACAGAAACAGACTATCACAAGTTCAAGTTCAAGAACTCTGGAAAGGCTAGGATGATTTTCCTTACATGGCTGCCACCTGATACAAGAATTCAGACTTTCTAGGAGACACTGAGAATTCTAAAAGAGAGAATAAAAAGGGAGGAAGGAGCAGCGATGGAATTGGGACTTGTTACATATCACCAGCCCTGTCCTCAGGACTAGTGATTGCTTAGGACCTATAAGTAGCACCAAGACTGCGAAGGCAGGATGTTTAAAGCATAACCAGTAAAAGTTCTTATACAGAGGGGATGCTCTGACGTAGTATGCTGAGCACACTCCTAGTAAAACACGTGGAGTGCCTTCCATGAGCTATGTTCACACATCTCATCTTTTGAATGGTCAAACTGGATAATCCAAAAATGGGTTGTCTCTCCCGGCCTCCAAGGACCCTTCTCTGGGGCTCTATAAGAACTTTCCATAATAATTTCTCCTGGGGCCAGTTTTTGTGAGTGAAGAGACAGTATGTAACAGTCTAGAGGAGGCACTAATATTGAATACTTTTTCATGTGAAACCTTGCTAAAGACTCTTAAAAGTCCAATGGCTACCTTTTATGGTGTCAGTATTTTCTGTCTATACTTCGTGGTATACTTCAATCTTCTTCAGTCTCTGCGCTGTCTTTCCCCTTTTAGCCTACAAAGTGATCTATCACTTTTCAACTTTCTTCCATCATTTGAAATTTCATGAATATTTTCCACAAGCTCCTCTGAAGTTTCTTAGCTACCCCATTCTTGTCTACCCCATTCCAGCTTTGTCCTTACTGGATTGCCTCAGCATATGGAAAGGATAAATCCAAACTCCCCACCATGCTAGTCAAAGACACTCCATAATTCAGAGAATACTGAATGGCTGAGCAAACTGTCAGTTCCCTCCCACAGAGGAGGCATTGAACACACATATTTCAGGTGGTGAGGACTCCTGCTAAGAATTCTAAAAAGATGAGCCAGTTACACACGGGGAAATGAACTATTCTCTTTGCTAAGAATTCTAAAAAGATGAGCCAGTTAAAGACAGGGAAATGAACTATTCTCTTTTTTTATTATTATTACATTTCAGTCATATCACTTAGTTTCCTGTAAGTCTGGAGCACATCTTAGATACTTAAAGGAAAAAGATAACTAGGTGCTACTCAAGTATCACCAAGAAATAAATGAGACTGTGAACCCTTAGAGATGGTCAGTAAACTGGTTGTCCAGAACCTTGTTGACCTTCATATTCAAGGCCAGAAGTAAACAGTATTCATGCCGAGCTAATGAAATAGCCAAACTGCTTAGGAGCCAAAGAGCCCTGTGCATTCGTATTTATGAATCACCATCAAAACTGTAACCTAAACAAGGGTACATGTTACAGAGTTGAGTTTGCAGGAGAAAAAGTGAATAATCCTTCGAGCTTGGCGAAAGTTGAGATATCACAGAAATAATTTCCTCCCTGCTGTTTGCCCTGTTCCATGAGTATGAACAGGTTGCTAATTCAGGTCTTTGTTTCAGATAAACATGAAAAGAAAATTTCCAAACATCTACACTACATTTTGCTGTCACAATCATAGCATATTTTCATTTGGAATTGCGTTTTACTGTGTGCTGCCATTTTATTTTTTGTCCAGGTCAATAAAAGCCAAGTCTAAAGAGCACAAGGATGCAGCCAGCTTCCATCACTCAGGAGAAGAATCCAGCAGCAAAATGGAACATGGTTTTACTTAGGAAAGATAATTCCTTGAGACTTTACTGTAACCATTTCTTAAATGAGATAGAATAGTGAACAAGTTAAAGTATTTGTTTTCTAAGCAGTTAAGAAGAAAAACATTGGTCAAAGCAAAGCTAGTGTAGTCTTTATTTTGCTCACATGAAGTGGCCCATGTCTTTTCCCAGTCCCACTGCTCCATTCACAACTTCTGCTTTTTTTTTTCTTTTTTCTTTTTAAGGTTTTCACCATAGGGCACATGCACACCCCAGAAAGAGACAGAGAGGGAAAGTGAGAAATCACCCCCTGGGGGGCATTTATACCCCACAGTCTCTTCTCCTCCATTCTCCTCTTGGAATTTTGGGCACATACACATACACACCTGGCATGTTTCTCAAACTGCCAGATCCAAGACTCGAACCATGGTTGGCCATATGAGACTCTAACACCTTAACCACCACACCACCTGCTGGACCCAACTTCGGCTTTTTCTCCAGGTTCATTTTCCAAAAGCACATGTGTCGGAGATTAGGCATCTCATGCTCTGTCTGATACACACCTCCAGTCATTAGAAATCTTTCTTCTGGAATCATGGATTAATTCAGTTTCCTAGTCACTGCAAGTAAAGAGTGAAGTTCCTATGAGATAACTAGTTGGGAGTTTTTTAACCCACCTACAGTTATGTCAAATTCGGCCAAAACATTTCATTTTCAGTTGGTAATACTGTAGACAAAAGTCACGAATAAAAAATGACAATGGAACAAAAATGTTTTAATTTAATAATGTGATGGAACTACCTTTTAAAAAAATTCTCACTCTCAATTCTATAGTTATCTTATTCGATGCCTATTAATAGTATAGAAGTTGAAGACACAGTGATAGATGCTCATTATTAATGCTGACCCTGTTTATTATCAGAGGTATAGTTGCCTCAGATTCTGAAGCAATACCCTGCCTACACCATAGCCCTATTTAATTTCTTTTTATTTAAATAGATTTTATGTATTTATGCAGCATACACAGGAAAATGGGGTACATACTATCTTGTGGAATGAGAAGGAAGAGAGAAGTGAGGATTTTTTGCCCAATATCTGCTTTTAAAAATGAAAGAAAAGGGGACCAGCAGTTAGTGTAATGGCTATGTCACTGGACTCCCACGTAGTTGACCGTGGTTCACGTCCCAGACCCGGTGGCTTAAAACTCACGCCGGGCGCGTGTGTGTGCATGCCCAAGATCCCAAGAGGAGAATGGAGGAGAAAGGATTGCGGTGTGGCCATCCCCCCTGGGGCGTGATTTCTCACTTTCTGTCTCTCTGTCTCTCTTTGTCTGTCTGGCAAGTGCACGTGCCCTATAGTGAAAACCTCTCCAAAAAAAAAAAAGAGTAAAATAACCCCCAAATTCATCAGTGGTGTGCCATGAATAGATAATGGCTGAGTTTTTTTAATTTATTAGACCCAAATGCCAAATGCTAAAAATACCTTAATTTTTTTAAAAATGTCCCAAAATTCAAACATGCTCATAAAGCATTATTTACAATAGCCAAAACGTGGAAATAGCCAAGTGTCAACTGACAGCTAAATGAATGTTTTTCATGTGGCATACAATACAATGAAATACTGTATTTGGCCATAAAAAGGATAAAATTCTAATCCATACTATAAAATATATAAACCTTGACAACATTATGCTAAATGAAATTAGCTAGACAAAAAGATACTCACATTGTATACTTTCACTTACATCAGGAGGAAAAGGAAAATGAATAGTTTGCCAGGGGCAGGTGGCGGGGGACAGGTCAATAGGAAGTTACTGCTTAGTGAGTACCTTCTCTGGGGCAATGAAAAGGTTCTAGAAATGGATAATAGCTAGGGTTGTCCAACCTTGTGGATGTTCATAATGCCCCTTTGTTGTATACTTTAAATGGTTTTTAAATGCCTCTAGTAAAAATCGGACTAATATTTGAAAGGTTACAAAAAAGAAAAAAGCCACTCCAGTCTACTGTGTCTGAAAAAACATCTTTGCTTAACAAAATAATTTCTCATATACTTTTTGATAGAAAAAGACTCATGCAAACCTCAGGAAAACAATACAGCATAAATATTTTCTGGTTGCTGGTGCATGTGGAGCACATTACTTCTTCTTTCTTTGGACACTTGAGAATAGACTTGTACATTTTCAGAAAATTATCAATAACTCTTTGCACCACTTTGCACCATTAAGTATTATTTTCAAATCCCATGTTGGTTAAATTGCATAGGCTGTTCTGTCTTTTTGAATAGTTCCTGTAGAAACTGTGTAGTTAGGTGTTTGAGAAGACTGGAAATAAACCTAAGAGTGTACAATAAAAGCTAACATTTCATGGCTAGTAATTTCTTCCAGCTCTCTCCATTTGTGGTTATTACTGTGTTCGCATTGGGAGTATAATCATACTACGTAACTATGGCTGATAAACAGTCTCCACACACAGACTTCCCTTCCAAACACTTTCCCTCAAAGCTATGTAATAGAAAAACACAAAACAAGCCATGTGTAAGGTTCAGGTGTTTTCAGTTACTTCCCTCATACGAACAGAGGTTTCCTAGATCCAAAACATGTTTCAGCTCAAGGAGTTTTCTTTATACGTGACAATTATGTAGTTTCAGGAAAATTTTATTTACATATCTCTCATTCATTGACGCTTCATCAATAAAACATTGCTTTTGAGCTCTTGTACAGAATTACTTTCTCCATGAGAGGTCAGCCATATGGTACAGTTGCACTGGTGAAGTGTGCTCTTAGAAAGTGTTTCAGGGAACCAGCAGTTAGCATAATGGCTATGTCGCTGGACTCCCACGTAGTCGACCGTGGTTCGCGTCCCGGACCCGGTGACTTAAAACTCACGCCGGGCGCGTGTGCGTCCGTGCCCAAGATCCCGAGAGGAGAATGGAGGAGAAGGGATTGCAGCGTGGCCATCCCTCCTGGGGGGTGATTTCTCGCTTTCTGTCTCTATGTCTCTCTCTGTCTGTCTGGCGAGCGCACGCGCCCTATACCAAAAAACCTCTCCCTCCCCCCAAAAAGTGTTTCATCTTTTGCTCTTGCAAGAGAGAGAGAGAGAGAGAGAGAGAAATGCTCAATGCTGGCATTCATGGAAGATTCCTTGTCAGTCCCCTCACCGCAGAGCATTTCAGCACAGTGCCTCCCCCGTCTTCCTGCTCCCAGGAGGCCAGTCTCTCTCTAGAATGGCTTAGGTGGGGGAAGATAAGACTAATCTTGGTTAGTATTAATCATTAACTACCTCAATGTTAATACTCAGGCAAGTCCCAGTAGAGAAGGCATTGACATATAACCACCTGAGTAAGGTTTTTATAAAAGAATTATTTAAATTTATTTATCATCATTATTATTTTTGAATGTTCTACAGGGCACTTGCACTAACCAGAGAAAGAGAGGAAGAAAACAAGTTGGCAGGTCTAGGATTCGAACCACGGTTGGCCATGTGGGAGTCCAGCACCTTAGCCACCACACCACCTGCTGGCTCCCATCTGAGTAGATTTTTAATTTTCAGTAACAATACCACAGTGAAAGAGATGTTGGCCTGAGTGTCCAAAGTCTCATAGACAGGACATCTATCATACAACATGGTGATGGTCGTCAATAAAAATGAACTACATGCTTGAAAATCGCTGAGTCTAAGTCGGGCTTAAATGTTTCCACCATGAAAAAATGATAAGTATGTGAGCTGATAGTCATGTTCATTAGTTTGATTTAATGTATACATCTCTGAAAAATATTGTGTTGCAGACTAGAAACATAAACGATTTTTATTTGTCAACCTTAGTAAGGTTGAGGGGGACCAATATGACGTGTGCTTAGGTGATGTAAATGATTCCACTCAATTATCTACATTTATGAAAAGTGCTGATGTGAGGTATATCACATAAATATACTCAGATTCCTTTTGTGGAATGTATTATAGAAGTTGAAAAAGTTGAAATGTTATGTTTTCAAGTTTTACTTTTCTAATATTTTACTTTCTTGGGCTAAAGATAGTTACAGTATGTTGACTGCCATGAGGTTATTAGCCTGTTATTTAAATTTTACAGCAGGGCAGCCCCATAGTGCTGCAATTAAATGCTGTGCTTTGGGAGCTATGCTACATAGCTGACCATGGCCCCAGCAGCTTGAAAAATATGCCGAGTGTGTGAGCGCGTGTACCCAGAATCCTGGAGGGATGGCAAGATGGAGGAGGAGTGATTGCAGCGTGACCATGCTCCCTTAGAAGGTGCTTTTTCTCTCTCTCTCTGGTGAGTGCATGCACCCTCTGCACATAAAAGTAAATAAATAAATAAATAAATTTTACAATAGGGACCAGCAGTTAGCGTAATGGCTATGTCGCTGGACTCCCACGTAGTTGACCGCAGTTCGTGTCCCGGACCCAGTGGTTTAAAACTCACGCTGGGCGCGTGTGCGTGCGTGCCCAAGATCCCGAGAGGAGAATGAAGGAGAGGGGATTGCGGTGTGCCATCCCCCCTGGGGGGTTATTTCTCGCTTTCTGTCTCTGTCTTTCTCTGTCTGTCTGGTGAGTGCACGTGCCCTATAGTGAAAACCCCTCCCCCAAAAAAATTTACAATAATTTGATAAAATGTAAAACTTTTGAAATGATTTGAAAGTAGTATTATCTATCCTAAATAGGTTATCTAACTGTTTGCATTGCGTCTCCCTAAAAAAGGGAGAAAG